TCATGTTTTCACATTACTTTTTACAGTACTAATTTTCAAATTTTTATTTTATTGAAAAAAACACAAAATAATAAAGTTTTCATTAAATTAGAAAGGATCATTTTGTTTTCGAAGTTTTTATTCTATTTTCATAATAAAACACCATGGCCCATAGGAAAAATTTCTTTTTCTAGGGTGGCAGTCAATGTGTTAAACGTGTGGGCAGGATCTCTAAAGAGAGAGCTTCAGTCTTCTGTCATGGGCTTGGGGAGATAATGTTCTGGTGAGGGTGGTTCTGGTCACATCTAGGAGATTAAAGTCCATTTTGCCTGCTTTTACAGTGAGTGTTGTTCAGCAAAAGACCCTAAAATGCTTAGAAATAAAGTAATTTTCCAATGTGATGATTTCTGTTTCTTTCACACACACACACACACACACACACACACACACACACACACACACACGGTCTAAGGATGGTAAGTGAATTTTTCTTTAATCATATTTTTCCTTCTTTGAAAACATATTTATTGAATGCCTGTTGTGTTTCAGGCTGACATCATTATGATGTTAATATCAGTTGAAATAAAAGTAAATTTCTACCCCAAAATCAGCGTTTATTTTTCTAGAGTCCTTTCTAGCCCTTGTATGTAGGCATGCATGCTTTTTACTTAGTTGTAATTTTAATGATAATAAAATTTTTTATTTGATTCATTCACTTAGAAGTACTTTTTTATGCTGATACCTAGTCTTTATAGTTACCATAAACATTATATTCTGTTAAATAGTTATACTAAGCTTCACTTTTCTCCTTGAACTATTTAAAATAAATGATTGTCAATGGGAGAATAGGTTGGTAATTATGTATAGTATATAATATTGATGGAATTATGATGTAGCCATTAAAGGTGATAATTATAAGGATTATGAAAATGCTTATAAGTGGAAAAACAAAGTTGTATTTGTGTAATATTGATACATAATATAAAAGTTATGCATGCAAATGATTAGGACTGGATTAGAATACTGAAAAATCAAAAGTTTCTTAATCAGGTGGTGGGATAATGGGTAATCTTACCTTTTCAGCTTCTAATAAATTTTGCACTTT